GGGAAAAAAAAAAAAAAAAAAAAAATTATCCCGTAAATTCTCCACAATTCTATTTTTCTCTATGTTGGCTAGAGAAGTTCAAATTTAAAACATGGAATCAAGTCATTTCACCATTTATGGGAGCTTCAAGAATGTGAACATGAACAACATGAATTGTCAATATAATGTCAACAAAAGATCATGGATGACCACATTCAAGGAATATTTTTAATGGCTTGACAAGAAGTTACATGAAAGAGCACTTGCTATTTGTTGGTTATTAGCTGCATCTTGAAAACATCGAGGTCCTATTGGTTGTAGATAGTCGTCCAGCCCATCTAAAAACTATTGAAGAAATAAAAAATGTTGAGATATTTTTTTTTGCCACTAAACATGACATCAACGATCTAGAGCTTTCAAGATGCATTTTAGTTGACGATTTTACCGTAGTAATTTGGAGCTACAAAGTGGGGCAAACAAATATAGAAAAGAAAAATGTTTTCTGCACTGACAGCCTTGCAATCTCAGTTTTGTGGGAATTCTGAGATTGCGAGATTGATTGAATCAATCCTATGCGACATTTTAGCAAATTACTAATCAGTGGAACCACACATTCTTACAAGGGAATTTCAGTAATTTATTATCTTATTGTTCAATAGAAAATATTAGTTTGTATCCTTAGCCAAAGTCGGGACTGGAAAAATTTATTTTATGAAAGAGATTGGTAATATATCGAGTATTAAATTAGAGAGAAGATTATATTGTAGTTTGCAATCATCTCCGAGCTCGTTCTAATTGTGAAACTTAAAAAGGTTATTGCAAATTATGTAATTTTGAAACTTAAAAGGTTATTATTGCAAAATATGTATTTGAATTTAAATTGGATGTAGATCTTTTTGACCCTTTAATTATACTCTCTTGTTTTTCTATTAGGTTCAAAAGATTGACAGGACGAAATGAAGTGGCTGTCTCTGCTGGAGACTACAAGTTTTATGCGCCAAGACACAAGTATAGGCGTGTGGGGTCAAACTCCATTTCCAATGTTAACAGTTTGCCTGTAAGCTTCAAAAAACTCTTTAGCTGTAGTGCTGATTGTTTAGCCTCACAATACGTCAAAGTTAAGCTCCTTTTGATAAAAAATTCAGACACTTTCTCCACAGATGATTTTGATTAATAAAATTATCTGATTATTTATCAAAATAAATAAATAAATAAAAAAATCTCCAGATTATTTGCTTCTTTTGCTGCTTTTAAAACCGAAGCTTCTGTTAGTGAAGTAAGATATTCTTTTTCGAGAAAGCTCCTGCATGGCAATAGGCATAATTTCTATTTAAATGGAATGAATTTTGTTATATGTTCTATTGTTTTGTTTGTGATGATAGAATGGTATGTGTGTGTGTGTGTGTGTGTGTGTGTGTGTGTGTGTGTTTGTGCGTTTGTGCGTGTATTTTTATTATTATTATTTTTTGGAATAATAAGTCAATTACATTTCCTGTATTCATGAACTGAAATTGTAAGACGTGAAGTAGGTAACCTTAACCTAATTGCGAAGAGTTTGAAACAAGATGTCCAGATGTAGGACTGTCCTTGTGGCCTTTCAAACTCATTTTCACTGATTGAACTTTTTGTTCTCGAGTTATTCCAGTCAACTTATTGAACCTTAACAAGTTTTTGTATTATAGAGCTCTCTAATGTTTTTAGGTGCTTGACTTTTGTCAATTTATGCATTGTCATGCTCTAGTGCACTTGAACGCCTAAGCAATTTATTTTTCATTAAAAACTACCGGTACTTACTAATGCAATTGAATGTTTTATAAGCTAAACCTAGTGTAACTGATGATTGGCTGTTATTATATGATTTGTTTAGATCCCATGAGAAAATTTGTGGTATAGCCGTATGGTAGGCCATATGTATCTTTATGAAAAAGACTTTTTTAGTGTGTAACACTCAGTCACAGATTTAAACTATACACGTATATGCATGTATTATTGTTCTGATGGATTTTATTCTGATTTAAATATTCTTGTCATCTTATGTATGTAATTTCTTTTATTTGTGTGTTAATCTGAATCCACAGAATACTGAGCAGACTCCGACAAAACAACATATGCAGCCAATCTCGCATCAGGTCCAGTTTCATCCTCTACATCAGAGCCATCAGAATCATATTAGTCACAATCCACAGGCAACACACTTTATGCACAGCCAACAGTGTGTGCCTGAACTTTCTCATAACCAGGACTCATCAACCATCCCCCAACACATTGCCTGCTTACAACCTATTGGTCATGTTGGAGGACGTTTGCATGTACTGGTGTGTGATATTTTTTATTTACCATTAATTATTACCGTTTGCCAATTCTTTGATATGAGGTCTTTATTAGGATTTAATATCGTTTCAATTAGTTATCTGGCCTCTTATGGTTCTGCCAAACAAAATTTTCTGTCTAGTTTTAATTGTGCTCTTTATATTTTCTCAGCAGATTATGGTGATTATTGCTTTTAATTTGTCATATTGGAGTTATTTCTCTGCGTATTGGAGGATTATGAGCATTTGTTTCTTTGAATGGAAAAGTGAAATGAAATACTTCTTTTGCAAGTCACTTTCCTGCTCAGAATCCCTTCAGCAACATCAGTTATGCATATATTTGTCTCTCAAAATTTTTTGAGAACCAAGAATTGCTTTGACTTGGGGACTATCAGAGGCAAAGTACTACTACCACATATTTGTGCCCTTAAGCTGTTGCTTTTTTCAAATTGCATTTGAATTTTACCCAAACTATAAAAACCAGCTATTCATTTTAATCTGCATGGATAAATTTCGATAAAAAAGAATTAGTTCTACTATAAAATGCGTAAAAGTTTTACATGAGAAGCAATTACGGTAGAATACTGTTCTGCCTGAAGTTTTCCAATCTAAACTGGAAAATGATTTCTTCTTCTATTATGTACTGGTATCTCTAACTTCATTGCCTCATAGTCAATAATTTTGAATTTATTAATGCAGGCAACAAGCCCAGCAAAATTTTGTGATGAATGTGGAGCTCCTTATTTAAGGGAGACCTCAAAGTTCTGCTCAGAATGTGGCACAAAGAGATTAGGAATCTGACATGAATTTCAGATATTTCTCTTGTAACTTGTAATTGGTATGTTCTTTTTCTTTTTTCATTTTGTTTGGCAAATGATTTATTAATATAAAATTGTTCATAAGTCTCTCTCTCTCTCTCTCTCTCTCTCTCTCTCTCTCTCACACACACACACACACGTGTTTTATTGGAATGTTTGGGGCTTTGATTTGACCACATTAGACAAGATTATAGATTTAAATATGTTAAAATCTTATTCATTTCAAGGTTTTGATGGACGTTTATTGGGTCTTTTCTTCATCCTTGTAAGGCAGAGAATGCCTCGGAATCTAAACATGTTGGTGCCACTCTGTGAATGCACATCAGATCACTTTATGGTTGGCAACGGTTCAGTTCGGGGTTGGTTCAGTCAAAACCATCACCGAACCACGAATTTTTTGGTCATACCATAACCGTACCATAATAACGTAAGTCGGTTCGGTTCATATTTTGGTTCGGCTCGATTCGGATTGTTAATAACCACCAAAATGAATTAATTTTTACAAGTCCAGCAGTCAAATTAAAAAAAAAAATTATGAAAAAAATGTTAATGAAAACAAAAAGATAATATTAAGCTAACATGGCAAACAACAACATCCCAAATGAAAATGTAATCAATATTTCAATTCAATATCCGCATAAGATATGTATTCTCATCTCAATATCACAATAAAAAAACGAAGTCTGTTCATGAAGTATATTCAACTGAGAAAGAATTTTGGCAGCCAAAGATCTTTTATTACTTGTTCCTCTTTGAGTAATATTCACTAATGACATTTGGGTAGAATTCCCATATTTTTGTTTAAATTCAACAAATCTAAAAATTCTTTGTAAAACCTTCAGAGATTTTTCCTACAATTTGGTGCATGGTGAATTCAACGACTTAATAATTTGCTTATATCCTTGCATTTTCATTTATTATTCTCAAATTCAAAGTGCATATCATCGAGCTCCTCTAGCAATAAAACTTAATATCTTTAGACAGACTAAGTTCATTAAATTCATCTTTTACGTGGAAAAGGAAAAAATCACATTTCATCAAATGTTCAAACTCGACAAAAACAAAAATAGATATAGATTACAACAACAACAATTGGCAAATGAGAAGAGAACGAAAAATACCCTCCTATTTGGGGATGACTACGGCGAGCAAAAAAGAATACGGTGTGGAGAAGAAAAAAATTTGGCAACACACTGCAGAGACTCGAGTGAGGATGGCTGTCGGCTAATGTCTTGTTAAATTTGATTCCAATTTTCTTTGTGGTAAAGTTAGTACTTAGTGGGTAAGTGGTAACTGGGTTATGTTACTTAATGGGTTGGTAATGGGCCATAAATTTTAGGTTAGACAAATGGGAAAAATTCATATTTCAGGTGTATTCTTTACACCATTTCAAAAATTCGGTAAGAAGTTTGAAAATTCAAAATTCAAGTTTGTATTTAATTAATTAAAAATATTTATTAAATAAATATATTAAAGTCACAATTAAATAATTAATGGTCACAGATTTATTTACTGGTCACATATCATCAAATTAATTGGTTACAAATTTATTTATTGGTCACATATAAAAAAATTTATAGGTTACAAATAATTTCGAGGTCATGGATCAAAAATTTTAGAGGTCACAGGTTTTTTTAGTCACGGACTAAATTGTTGGGGTCACAGATTGTCAAATTTTAAGGTCACATGCCAAATCGTTGGTTACATATACCAAATACTCCATTGTCGAACCCAATCCACCACCAATGATTGGTTACGGAGCAACCAAATGGTCACCACCACCACCA